CCATTTCTAAGCCTCTAGGACTCCAGTGAACTGTGATCACATTCATATTATTCAAATGGATAAAGTGGAATCGTTTCTAATCCTGGACGTTGGTCCATGTTCATCCTGCCAAAATCACTTCATGAGTAAGGTGTAATGTTATCTAGGAATTGACAATGAACTGCACAGCAACATTCAAAGACCTCTTATACCTATGGTGTACATGACTCTATCATCAGAAAGACACTGGGCAAAATTAGCATCTATGACAGAATAGCAAGGCAGAAACCAGTGTTGACAAGAATAACATGTCTTATGAACAAATGAATCATAAGTGGAACTTGCCTGAAACATCACATATTTTTAGGGAATTTCTTTCTTTTTCCACTTTAAACTTTAAATGATTCATACAGAATTCATATAATTTTGCTTAGCATTTTGTATAAACCGTTTCTCAATGTATGTCCCTCTCCCTGGATCTGTCATCACATCCCTGTCCTCTTTTCCTGTTAATGTGTGGGTGAACAGTATCTGTGAAGATGATGAAGAACGCCAACACAATGAAAGCCACTCAAGACTTTCCACTTTGTCTCTTGCTCAAACAACCCTTTGCACTTTCACATTTTTTGTTTAGTATGTGGCCACACAGTTATTGTTGTGGGTCCTTTCTGGGTCTGTCCTCTGAAAAACCACATCAGTCATATCAGACCATATGGGCTCTGTGGTTTTGGTTGTGTTTCTTACTGTTGATGCCAAGTCCTTGATATAAGTATAGTCTATCATTTTGTGAGCTTCCTTTTTCCATTATCCTCTCAAAAAGGCAATAGCATTTGCAGAGGACACAATTAGAACTCCTGAGCAGTTGGGGCCTTTGCAAATTTCCACTTTCATAATGGTATTACAAGCAATGAAAACTTATGAAAAGAATGGCATTGGCAGAGTATACATTAGGCTACACCCTCATGGGTAGTCTGATTTCACTCATCATAATGTTTTGTAACAAAAGTAACAAGGCCATTTCTAGACCAGTGGCCCTCGATACTGTGTGTGCTGATGAACTTTAATATATCTGTCATCTTGGATGTTTTTGCTACTGAGAGACAGGCTTTTTGGATCCACCTGTGGAAGTTGTTAATGAAGAAGTCTCAGCAGCATGTGAAACAGCCACGTTCAAACCTGATGTGCTGATGTGAAAAACATCACAAACGGGACCTCTGGGAATTGCTTTCAGTATGAATTACTCAGGCATATTGTGAGTGAAAAAAGTCCTGGTGTTAAGCCATCGCCATGTGAACCCTGAAGCTGGAACTGCACTAAAGCAAATTTCTCTCTCTACTCTTCTTTTTCTTCGTTTTTAGTAGTAAGTCGTCACTAGAGGTCAGATGTCCCAGTTGCTGCCAGTAATTTTGTACTTTGCAGGTGGGTTCTCCAAGGTTAGTCAGTCAATTAGAGCAGAGTATGTAGCACAAATACAGGGTGTCCCTCAGGGATCCATCTTAGGCCCTTTGAGGTTTTCCCAAGAGGCTCAGTTTTAATTCGTAACGCATGTGTCAGGACAGCAGAGGAGTGTAACTCCCTGTTGGAAGACCACAGATCAGAGAAGTTGCTCTTTTGTGATGTTGGAGAACTATAAACAGCTATTGTAATTCACCAAACAGAGAAAAGGGGGTAGTCTTTGCATAACCCCAGTACCCTTGTTGATCCCTAATTCATTCCTCTGCTCCACGACTTTCTTTTCCTCTTCACAAGGAGGCAGGGCTTAGATGGAAGTGTGTGTTCCTCACCTAGGGAAGCATGGAAATACAATCAGAGCAAGACACTTCACCCTGGGCCCACAAGCGGGGCATCCGGCTGGACTTGTACTTATGGCAAGAAATACAGCCCATGGGTCGTTCGTAGAAACAAGAGGAAGGGTTGTCTGTGACATTGGGGGAAGAGCAGCACGGCAGAATGACAAAGCTGTCGTCTAATGAGAAAACACACTCTGGTCATAGTTTCCCCTTTTTCCTTTTTCTGTAAGAGTGGCTGCTAGCACTTAAAACTGTGAAGAAATTGCCATGATGTCCTTTGCTGTGGGAACAGCTTGAATAAATAAAGAATTAGAATTCTACCAGAAATAGTGAATCATTACTACAGCACATGCCCTGAACATCTGGGCGCTCTGTGAAGTGGTGCTGTAATATAAATGCATATGTATAGACCATATGGGTGAATTAGGTCAGTCAAGTATAGGCCATTATTGAGCATACATAGCTTACCATATCTTTATAATGTTTAGGTATATGTCCAAAGAGATTCACTAATATTGTGTCATACCTAAACCAGGTATGATCAGACTAATTATTATTATTATTATTATTATTATTATTATTATATAATTTCAAGGTATTGTTAAGAAAAAAAAATTGTTTGGTCCAAGTCCATTGAACGTTTGCATCTAAATAGCAGTACTTTGTGCCATCAACATTAGTACTGGCTTAGCAGTAGCTGCTTGTCACTATACTTAGGCAATGAATCAGAACAAGAACAATGTTTACACACACACAGAACAAGACTTGAGTTTGTCTGCCACGGATGCACTGCAAGAGATGCAAAGTATGAAAGTTTCTGAAGGCAATTTATGCAGAGATAGGTGGCTATGATAAATACAATATACTACAGTGACAAGAATAAGTTAGTGAACCCTTTGAAAATATCTGCACGTCTGTATTGATTACTCATAAAATGTGGCCTGGTATTAATTTACTTTCAATTATAGACAAACACAATCTGATGCAACTAATAACACACTTTTCATATTAAGTCATCTTAATGAATATATTAAGTAATCATTCACAGTGCAGAGTGGAGAAATTAAGTGAATCACTGAATCCTAACTTGTAGAAGTTTATTGAGCAATTTTGGACCATTCCTTCCCATAAATCTGTTTCTGTTTATCATTATTGTTGGGTTGTCTTGATAACACTGTCCTCTTTAGGTCAGGATTCACATATTTTCTTATTTTTGTGTTTTGCCTCATTGTCTTATTCATAGTTTTCACGTGACGTCACACCCTTACAGGAACGCAAAACAAGGCTTTCCTCCACTGACCGCCAGTTATTTTTATGAGGATTGCATTAAGTAGTAATGTAGTAAGACAGTGAAATGTAAAGGCCAAATTCAGCATACAACTTATTGATGATGCATACTTTGTACAGGCAATCAGATGAACCCAGAATATAAATGCAATGTGTAAAGTTTAATAATAAATGTTTTGTCATAAAAAAAAAAAAACATTATAAAGAAAACACTTAACCATTTAGCGCAGGGGTGCCCAAACTCGGTCCTGGAGGGCCGGTGTCCTGCAGAGTTTAGCTCCAACTTGCCTCAACACACCTGCTACAAAGTTTCTAGTATGTCTAGTAAGAGCTTGATTAGCTGGTTCAGGTGTGTTTAATTGGGGTTGGAGCTAAACTCTGCAGGACACCGGCCCTCCAGGACCGAGCTTGGGCACCCCTGATTTAGCGCATAGCGTTCATATTCCGGGCTCATTTGCTTGCCTGTATAAAGCATGCATCATCAATAAGGAGTGTACTGAATTTGATCTTTTAATATCACTGTTTAAAGGCACTTTAAAGGGGTGGTTCAGTGTTTTTTTTAGGCTTGATTGTGTTTATGGGGTGCAGTCTAACATGTGTTAATCCTTTGTTTTTTAAGAAACACATTCTTTTTCACATAATTTACCTTTATTCCACACCGCTCTGTCACTTCTCTGAGAAACGCGCTGATCAATTTCCGTGCAGAGCAGGGGACGCGAGGAACAGTGAACCGCTGCTTTAGAATATTGATTTTGAAACTTGTGAATCCATTAGAATTGTTAGAAGACAGAATCGCGATTCATATATGAATAGATTT